GAGTGCAAAATTAACTTTACACCAGCAAATGAAACAAGTCAACTTTTATATACAAGTATATGGTATATGCATATTTATGTGCGTATATATAAGATATAATTTAACATATACATATGCATAACTTTCAGCCTTAAATTGGGGATTTTCACGTCCCCATTCCGTGCATAAATACATATTTTTCTTTGTTGCTGAAAGCTTCCCATTGGCTTTGCCCTAACTCAATTACGCGCTGCGTTGCGCTGAACTTGAACGTGAAATGAAATTCTGCGTGTGGCTGGTGGCATGCGAAAATGTGAGCGCATTTTATCTCAAAATGCATTCATACACATACATGTACATATGTACATGACAGTAGTAATTGCCAGCATATTCACTGTTGCCATGACTAGGAATGCTGCGTACATGACTCGCCTCGTTGGTCAAACTCTTATCACGAAGTGTGGCGTACCGTGCAAGCGAGTGTGGATTACATAGTTGCCTTTTTGGTTGAAATATTTCCATGCATACATACATATAGTAGATCATATATTWGTCAAAAAAGTCTTGCGGTATTTTCGCTAGTTGGCGCTGAGAGTGCGTATTTCTAGTTTTATTCGTCGCATCGGGTCATGCTATAMCTTTTTGGAAAGCTAACACGTGTTTGATTGATTGTTGTTTCTTTTAAGTCGTTCATGAGTTATAGCGTCGCAAACATGGAGCAAAATAAAGAGAATATACAGCATATTTTACAGTACTACTACGACAAAGGCAAAAATGCATCTCAGGCCGCCAATAAAATTTGTGCAKTTTATGGACCCGATATAGTTTCCATTTCCACCGCACAACGATGGTTTCAACGTTTTCGTTCTGGTGTAGAGGTGGTCGAAGATGCGCCACGCTCCGGAAGGCCTGTCGTAGAAAATTGCGATAAAATCGCTGAATTGGTCGAAAGAGACCGGCATAGAGCAGCCGTAGCATCGGTCAAGAGCTGGGCATGAGTCATCAAAAAAAATTGTATGAACAATTGAAAATTCAATAAAAATAGCGCAAGACTTTTTTGACAATGTAATATATTATATACATGCCATATCTGCATATGCTTCCACAATGCCGCTTGTGCAAACGAACCACTGTGGTTCGTGGAAATCAGCTGGTGAAAAAATTACATTCAAATTTCTTGCAGAATAATAACTTTGCTGCCTTTTCAAATTTAAATATTTGAATTGTATTCGCTTCGCGGAAATCCACTAGTTTGAAACTCGTGAGAATTACGTACATTTGGTTCATCATTTTAGTTTATTATTCCGCCAAATCTAATATAACCGTCAACTTAAGCACAACTAAAATTAATGACTTAGCATTCCTCCGCACGAATTTTTGCAACCATAGCCTTGTAAAAAATTAAAAAAAAAAATACAAGAGACAATTTCGTTTGTATCGCAACAATATATAAGAGCTTCCTTGCAAGAATTTGATTTTGATCAGTCAGTTTTCATGACAGCTATTGGCTATAATGACTAGATCTGAACAATTTCTTCGGAGATTGCACCGTGGCCTTTAACGGTTCCGCCAAATGAGCAGCTTCTTGGGGAGAAAAGAATTTCACTTTGATATCTCAGAAACATACGGATTAATTCGCGCAATATTAATTATGAAAGTTCATTATCTAAAATGACACTCAAATTACTTTTAACTTTTTACAGGGCTAGGTTAATAAGCTATTTTCGAATATCTGTTTGGCCTTGCTGAGAAGCTTCTTTATGACCACAAAACAGTGGCAATCCTTGGCGTTTTAAATTACACAATTTTGTATAAACAATACTCTCAGAGTTTCTTAAACCCCATATATGTTATAATAAAAAAAAAAAAAAAAATTCAAATTAAACTCATAATTTCTTAAACCCTATATAAACACAGAATTGTATATATAGTACGGCGTTACAAATGTTTTATAATAAAAGAAAAAAATATTAAAATTAAACTACAAGTTTCTTAAACACCATTTAAACACAGAATTTTAAACTCGCCTCAAATTTTATACGGTGATACAAATGCAATACAATGCAAAAAATTAAATTCAGAGTTTCCTAAACACCACTTAAGCATACATTCTTAAACTTCTTTTAAATCCTAAAAAAGTTCAAATTAAACTCTAGTTTCTTAAACACCACTTAAACACACAGTCTTCTTCTTCTTTTAAATCCTCAAAAAGTTCAAATTAAACTCAGAGTTTCTTAAACTCTATATAAACACAGAATCTTAAATTCATTTTAAATGCTATAATTCGGTAGATAGGGGGATGCAAGTGTGTTATAATGAAAGAAAATTTCATATTAAACTCCGAGTTTCTGAAACTCTATATAAACACAAAGTGTTAAACTCGCTTCAAATCCTAAAACTTGATATCTACGGTGATGTAAGTGAGTTATAATGAAAAAAAAAAATTTAATTAAACTCCGAGTTTCTTAAACACCACCTAAACACAGAATCTTAAACTCCATTTAAGTCCTACAAGTTGGTAAAAAAGGTGAGGCAAATGTCTGAAAATGGAAAAAAAATCAAACTTAAATACCGAGTTTCTTAAACATCACATAAACTTGGTATACTAAACTCGAAATTGCAATGCACTTTCTGCTTATGCATTTTGGAAATAGTTACAGCTGCATGTATGGTATAAATACATCATTAAGCTCGCATGGCTTACGGAAAAGTTCAGATGTCAAGCTTTTTTTGCAACGTCCACGCATTAATTACACCGGCACTAAATAGAACAGAGAGTTGATGTGGAAGTATATCACAAAATATTACTGACAATTAAAATATGTATATTTATTGTTGCAATGCAGCAGAGCTTTCAAACCTTCCGCAATATATACATACAAACATGTAACGGAACTTTAATAATTAAAGCGTATTTTAGCGGCTGGCGGCCCGCCTTTCGCTGCACCGTTAACAATAGCAATTTCAATTCTTACGCGTGTGTGCATGGAAATGCAATTATCCATAGAGGTGAAGATCTCTGCGTCGGTCTGTGCAATGTAACCAACCATTAGGGCGGAAGACAGCGCTTGCTGGCCACACACTAACACACTTAACGCTAGTACACTCTGCGGTCCACTCAGTCAACCAATTCAAGTGCGCATGCTCTGGTGGACACTTGATAAGTGCACTACTGTAGTGATTGTGTGATTGTGTGGGATCGGCGTGTTGTTTTGTTGCGGCTTCGGCAACTACTGCCATTTATGGGTTTCAGCAGAGACTCGCAGTAATGACACCAACCCATACACTTCGAGTTCTTCACTGCCTGCTTGTAAATTTCACTAGTCACTTGTGTGTGTGTGTGTTTGTATGTAGGTGCTGCTGGTGTTTCTATGGCAAAATGCGGGGGTTGTGCACTCTGTTCGGACATGCAATTTGCACTAATTAGACCAATTAGAGCTGCATTTGTGGCGCATCAAGAAGAAAACAAAGCACCCGACACACAACTGCACGCACACAATTGCCGACTTACTTCAATTGCTGCGTGGCAAACAATTCGAGTGCAAAGTTACATTTTTGGATTTTAGTGGCAAATACAAGAGTTGTACAGTTGAGTGCTAGTGAGTTTTTCCAAATGTCACGTATACGCACTGGTGATTTTTTTTGTTTAAATGAGCAGTGGCAATGGAAATAAGAAAATAAAATTTACATACTTTAACAAAGTTGTTTGTTGAGTTTTGTAGAATTTTTGTTATTTTTAGGTTTCGTTAATCTTCCTTTTAGAGCAAGAAGTTCACAAAACTCTCCTAAACCCACGTACTCATTTATGAGGTAAAATTTGTTTACCAACTTGCGCTAATGATGCAAAGCTAAGTTTTTATAAATACCATCAACATTACTTAAAAAGAGCCAAATTGAAGGAAGGGAAGCCAGCAAGCTGTAAACGTATTCACTGTCCGTGATTTTTGTCGTCCAGTTTGTATGGCAGCTATATGCTATAGTGGTCCGATCTGAACAATTTCTTCGGAGATTGCACCGTTGCCATGGATAATAATACATGCCTGATTTCGCTAAAATATTTTATCAAATGAAAAAGTTTTCCATACAAGCACCTGATACCGATCTTTCAGTTTGTATGGCAGCTATATGGTATAGTGGTCCGATCTGAACAATTTCATCGGAGATTGCAGCGTTGCCATGGATAATAATACATGCCGAATTTCGTGGTCTTATCAAATGTTATAGTGGTTCGATTTGAACAATTTCAACAGATATTGCAGCGTTGCCTTGTACAAAAATGCATGCCAAATTTCGTGAAGATATATTCTCAAATTAAAAAGCATTCCATACATATGTATCTCGTAAAGATTGAAAATGTATTTCGCCACAAAATATCTTATGTCAAGTGTCTTAAGCACATTCATAATCTTTGCTACATATTTTATATACCTTAGACCATACAAATGTGTGTACAATACATATTTATATTTAAAAAAAACTGTGTTTCTACTTCATTACTAGCTTCGTAACCTTTAAGTTGTAGACTTTCATTTCAACCCTGCAAAGACACATATCGACGCACACACAAATCAAATATAGGTGTATTAAATTGTTTATTTTCTCTATGCATTTGTGTCTGTGGGTTTGTGTTTATGTTTGCTTCTGTGTAGGCGTTTGCCCGCCTATGCAAGGTGTATTTATGTGTTTGTTGTGTGGGCATGTCTCAGTTTGTGGTTGTCACGTTTTATGCAAACTAAAGAGCGTTTTCCTTTGAGTCGTCTAACCCAGACTAGCACAATATTATTGTGCAATACAAACAATCAATATTTTTAAGACAATTGCTTCACTGGGAATGGCTTTAATGTTCTTGCAACACATTATTATTTTTTTTGCATTTTTCCGCTGCCAGTGTTTCTTCTTATTCATTCCACCTTTTTGTGTCTTTTGTCAAGCGATTAGTTTCCTTCTGGGCAATTTATTGCAATTTTTTTATGTGAAAGTTATTATTAACGAATTATTTATATTATTCTTTTTACTTTCAGTTAAATTGTGAACTGTGCTGTGGCAGGAAGCATATTAGGCTGTAAGTATTCTTTATTTACTTGTAGTACTTTATTATTGTTTCCCTCTTTTCATGCAAGTAGTTATAGAGATACTAAATTTATGCTTAAGAAATAGCTATCCATAGTTACTGAGAATCTGAAACTGCCTTAGAATCAGTTTACAAATTATTACCCAAATATAATCTTAAACTGTTTGATTAGTTTTGAGTTAGTGTTCTTACAAAGCAACTTTCCTATGATGACAGAGTGTTCGACCATTTTGCGTTGAAACCATACGTTTTTCGTATCGATCTGAGAGAAAGATGTGGGGTGCTTTGTGCCATAATTTCGAGCATAACACCTTTTAAGGCGAAAGGTAATAGCCTATCTAGATGATATTGCTTTCATGGTTAAAGGAAAATTCCGAATTTAACCTGTCGAAAGGTAACTTGGTACTCATCCTTGATGGAAAGCTTTCATAGAAGCGTAATGCTAAGGAGAGAAAAAGAAAGACATTGATTGCCTTATATATTTGTAAAAGAGTTAATGGAAAGTGATAGATAGATAGATAATGCAGTAATGCATCGCGACCTAGGGTCTATTGTGCCCTCTCCTATATCACATGTCCTCTCAGAGTTCCAGCAGCCTGAATAGTTCCAGGAGTTTGCCAGGCGCTACTGAGGTGATGTGATGTAGGTGGAAGAGGAATCTTCCGTCCGGAGCTTTCAATCAACTTTTGTTTCAGATTGCCAGACTACTGTAGTGCCCTTCAAGCTAAAACGGTCGTCATGAAGACAGCAGCACATGTACTTCTCTGAGCTGTTATCAAGGCCTCGAGTTCGATGACACTGAACTTAAAGCACTTCAAAAAATATAAGACCTCACTGGCAGTAGTATCCAACTACGTCCATATTAAACTTGTCTGGGTACCTGGCCACTGTGGAATCGTCGGAAATTGTAAAGCCGATGAGAAAAGGCGCCCGCTCAGCAAACGTCGGTCTGCAGCCTACACTTATGTTTTTGCAAAAGCATTCTGGCCCCGAGTGGAACGTAAAAGGTCCATTGAATTTCTAGTTCGTAGCAAGTCTCACATCGCCTCAATGATAGACGTGGTAAATGGACACAGTTTCATTGATACTCATGCGCGGAGGCTAAAGATTTTGGAGGTCACAACTTGTCAAAGTTGCAATGCGGAAGGTGAAGTGGAAACATCTAGACGCTTTCTCCTCCACTATCCACCTTTCGCCAGAATTATCTCCGATGCCATACATTCTCCGAATGCGCCGAATTGGCTGTAGTGGAACACGAGAAATCAGCCTATTTACCTAATCTAACCTAAACTATACCAAATTTTCCGACAATATTACAAGTGTTTTTCGAACAGTATTAATGTCGGTTTACATTAAGAGCTATTTTTCAATTTTATTATTTTTAAATATTATTATTTGGCTCAAGAGTTGCCACCTATGTATCTGTAAATAAAATTTAACTCAATAGCTAAGTGATAGGTTATTTTTACCGGCCCTTATTTACAAAGAATTATGCCAAAATATATTAACAGAGTTGCCACATATCTATAAATAAAATTGAATTCCACAGATAAATTTAGATAAAAAATATTTATTTTTACTGACAGATATTAAAAATAATTATCCCAAAAATAATATGAATAGAGTTGCCACCTATCTATAAATAAAAAATAACTAAATAGGTAAATGATATATTATTTTTACCGACCCTTATTTACAAATAATTATGCCAAAACTAATATGAACAGAGTTGCCACCATGTCAAAAAATACAAATTGACCTCAACTGTATCTTTTTGAAATCATGGTTAAGTGTCGAACAGAGACTTTATTAAGAAGTGAAGCTAGAGTCAAAGCTTATCAACTTTGTTAATGCCAATTGTGCACACTTTTTCAAAAATCTGCAAAAACCTAAATCTTTTTGAATCCCTCTTTAATTTTTGTAGTGGAACATAATTTATGCACATGTCGTATGACGTATTAATCAGAGAGATTTGTGGCGCTTTGTTGCTCAGATGTTCACCAGAACCATGAAATTCCCGACTTCTCCATGTTAAAGTCAGTTTTAGAATTGAATAATATTTTCCCCATGAGAAGTGGTGCATATAATACAGTTTCGCTTATAGTTTGCAAACTTTTCCAAAACTTTGATATTTTGAAATTTTTTTTTTAGCAACTTTGCTGTTTGCGCCAAACTCTTCTAGGAAATATTGCGTCCCCAGCTGAAGTTTCTATATTTAGAGATACTGCGCTCATATATACATACATACACATATGTGTATATCTACTTTGTAGCCATTTAACCACTAACGGCGTATTTCATTGCCACACTTTTATGTAACCCACTGAGAACACTCATAATCCAATAATCACCAGCCGCAGCGGTGGCGCTCATAACCGCTTATGCCACTGCAATAGGGGAAAGAGCGCGAGAACAAAATTAAAAGAACAATAATGGACATAAAACCACAAGCAAACAGCATCAGTAGCTAGGAGATAAGCCACAGCAGCTTGCCGCGCAAAATTAACGTTTTTATTTTTATCATCACTAACCCACCAATGCACACACATACACTTACTCACATACAAAGGCAAACAGTGTTAGGCATTTCTACGGTTATAACTGTATATAAAGTAGTTAGCGTTTAGCAGATACTTATTTGCGGCGAACTTCCACCGCAACACAACTTTACTGCAACTTTTGTTTCTGCGTTTGACTTCGCTTTGGTCGGTAACCAACAACAAGCACCACTCAAGTACGTACTCAGCAATTGGCAAGCGAAATGCAATCGTTAAAGCTTCACGGCCGCAAGCTGTCGGCTGTGGATGCTTTATTGAACGGCCTTAAATGTTGCGGTTTCTTGCGGTGACAACAACAACTCGAAAACAACAAGTGTGTGGCGTAATAAAGGTTTTGGCGTTGCATAAGTATGTGTATGTATCTGCGCATACGATTGTCGCACTTTCATGCAGCTGCTGCGTTGCTTCGTTGTCTGTGACGTAAATTCCAATAACGGTACGTTATCCGATGCCATTTGCTACCTTTGGACATTACGTTACGCCTCAGTGGGCCGGAGCAGCAGTCTTTCGCTGTGCATTTACTTTTCTACGACACGCCTACGAACTCAAGGCCAAAAATTTGCACATTACTCTCATTACTCTTTCTATTTAGCCTTCAAGTTTTCAATTTTTTGGCGTTTTATTTCGAGTTTTTCTTAAGCACTCAAATGCAGACATACGCACTGCTTTTTACGTATATTAGGGGTGTTCTTAAACCAAAAAAACATGTTGAAAACTCTAAAAATATCAATAATAAAATTTTGAGATCTGTTGTCGTGACCAGCAATCACTAAGCTGATGATTTCTATATACATTAGGGTGGGCCACAAAAAAATAAATAAAATTTTGTAACAAATTTTGAGATCTGTTGTCGTGACCAACAATCACTAAATTGATAACTTTTATGAACATACATTAGGGTGGGTCTTAAATACTATATTGTTGATTTTTTAGCGAAAAGTATAGCATTTAAATTTTAGTTAAAATGAAACAAATATTATTTTTCGTGAACACTATGACAAGAATGTTTTTTATTGTAGCGGGCAAAAAAATTACTACATAGTGTGAGAAGGTTTCCAATGTACTTGGAGTACAAGGTTAACGATTCTAATCGTTGTTAAAAACCCAGTTCGTCGGCTCTCGAGCTATATATCAGGACGTAAATTAATGTTGCAACACAATTCGAATTAAAAAAAGCGGCTAGTCGAATCCGCCAGGGCACGATTTTTTCCAATAAAGTTTTTTTTATCTGGATGAAAATTAGTTAGTTTTTTTACAGTAGACACAGTAGTCGGGATGGATCTTAGTCCTTATATTCTATTTAGACAAAAAATTGTTCTTTTGTTGTACTATTTCGGCATAAATTAGAATTTTTTTTTTACCTCCTAGTACCTCCTTAATATGCATCACCTTCATTTCATCTCATGGCCTACTTGGTCAGCCTCTTTATCTTGCACATATGTTTATAGACATTACTTTCCCTGCTGATCTGTCTGCAATTTGTTACAGACATATAAATGAAGTAATCAGTGGGTTTTTACACATGCGACAGCTTTTCAGAAATCATTACATGAAAAATAGGTTGTTATGCACACAATAAATAAGTAGGCAGTCTCCGTTTTCCTTAGCCGAAATAAGAATGTGCATGTTGCTCATACGCACTGCTGACCATTTCGCTGCTAAGCCGTGCCGGACACGCCCACATGACCTAGAAATTTCAATTTAATTCGCTTATTATGGATTTACATTAATTTGCGCGTTAAGCTAATATTAAAGAAATTAAAAATTTTTTTATTTTTTTCATTTTTTATTTTTTTTTGTTGTTGTTTGGAAAGTTTACACGAAGCATTTTCGAGGTACATATGTATTAATGTATATTCGAAAGCATGTAAGCCGGCTTTAAACATAAAATTAATATGAATTAATTTACTAAAAGGTTGCTAGATGCTTATATTTATTTAGAAAAATAAAAATACTATGAAATCTGAATACATTTTTAAAAAAATAATCAACAAAGGTGGTAAGTAACTAATACACGCTGTAAGATGTTTGTTTTTTGATAGTATCTTTTTTCAGTTATCTTTTTTCTTTTTTTGAATACAAGTTGCTTAAAACTAAAAATAAGTTGCAAATGTTGTATGTATAAGGTACGGATTAAATTTTTTTTAATTTTTTCAAATGCCATATGAGGAGAGTTGCCATATCACCTAGTGATAAGACATTAAATCTGCTTTATGGCACGGACTGAGGGACCACTAATCTGATCTATATGTCTCGCCGACAGCTTTCCAGTTCTCAATGCTCTGACACATAAGTGTCGTAAAATTTTCCACCATAAAAATACTACCAAATGTAGTTTTAAGTTTTCCCTTGTACTTAAAAAGCGAGGGCAATAAAAGAATACATGCTCAGAGACTTCAAAGCACTGTGAATACGTCGGAACATTCGGACTAA